ATGTAATGACATCAGCAGCCAGGTACAACCTGGAGCAAGGTGGACTTGATCTGCAAAATTTGCTTGGAAAGGAAATACTGTGGAATATCACCTAATAAGGAAGCAACTTTTGAAAAGCTCAGGCAGGGCCTCCTGGGTCTTCTAATTACCTGTGCAGAACCGCAGCTGGTAATGCAATATTCAGTGCTGTTCGTTTTATTTGAAAACAGCACTTTGCTAGCCAAAGAAAAGTTCTGAAATAAATGGTTAACAGTAAAAATACTAGGGATATTTACGTGGCACTATTTTCAACCCTCGCCCACAGGCACAGGTCATGTGCACAGAGAAATACAGCATATATACTGTTGGGAAGACATTCCTCCGACATTAAAGAGAAGACGATGACAACAGAAAGACTCACTTGCTCAAGCCAACAAAGCATTGCTTATTAACCTGGGGTTGTTGGTGATCGTGCAAAAGCAAGTGAGTAATCATGCTAATTTCCAGTGATGTCTGAACCTAGAACAGGTTAAAGAGAAACAAACAGAGTGTTAACCTATGGGTTGTTTTTAGTTCTAAGCTCTAGGTTGGTTCTGTCTGAATAACCTAGATTTCTGGGTCTGGACATCACAGAGAATCCAGGAATGGGAGATTAATAAGATAATGAACTTAAAAATGGAAGCAGAACCTGAAATAGCATTGTGGCTAATATGTTGTGAAAAGAAATGGAAATATAATATTACAGATGAGCAAATTTGGTATCAGCAGCAAAATTGATAATAGAGAAGAACTGGAAGGAGAAATGGGATCTCCAGTTAATTGAATGGTCTAAAGAAGTATGGAATTTAGCAGTTAATGAGAAGCTGACGTGCAAGATAAAGATGAAACAAGGACTGGTAAAGAATAATTATTTTAATTATATGGAGTTTGTTTATTGAACATGCGTTAGTAAAAGGGGAGGGTACTAAGCCTCCAATTCTGTATTGTAATTTTGGATGGAAGGGGCTATTTCAGAAAGAGCAGAAAAATTAAAGGGGGAAAAAACTAGGCCGCCATGGTCCCAGGGGAGGGGTACACTAAGGTTGACTTTTCAAAATTTTATTTCGTGTATTGTGCTTTTTCTTTGTTTGTATTTGTATTTTTTATAGTAAAAATTGAAAATAAAAAGTGAATCCAGGAATGGAGTGTCACCATGGTTGGCTGCTCCATGTTTAACCACACACGCTTTGTTTAATTGCATGAACCTGGTCAAAGAATAACAACTCTGCCCCAAAACTGTCCAGCTTGTTCACACAACCACTTGAAAGTTGTTATGAGGGCATTCCAGAGTGGCAGTGCCACCACCAAGAAGGTCCTGCCAAATATACATAAACACATAATCTCATTTTTCAAACAGACCTTCCGGTTCTCAATTCTATAAGACTGTCCTCTGTTGGGAGGTTAATTTTAAAAAGTTTGAAGATGCATTTTCAGATGAAAAGAAACAAAGATAGTCAATGTGGTGGAAGAGCCTTCTAGCATATCTTCAAAAATTACTCAGTCCGTTTTAACCCCAGATGTACATTTTCCAGAAATATTTTCTCTCTTTGCTGTTTTAAAACAACAGGGTAACATAAACAAGAAACACCAATTATTTCATTAATTGTGTTACAAACTATTGTAAGCTTTGGCCATTGGGCAGTATAGAAAGGAAACTCCTAACAGCACCTACATTTCCTTATCTTCCTGGGCAAAATAAAGGATCCAAGATAGGCACGTGTAAACTTCATCCTCTTGGTGCAAGGGTTAGTGAGCAAAATTAACGGGGAAAAGTTGGCCCTTTGGGCTTGCTATGGATTCCTCAGTGTGGGGATTACAGAGGCCATGAGGATGAGATAATTCCTAAAGTGTGGGGTTTTGCAAATTAATTACACAACCAGAGCATAGTTTATCGATCTGCCTCTGGACCGTGCGTCTGACGGCTGTTTTTTTTTGTCTTGATCCACTGTTCTACCTGCCACATTCTGCATATTAATAAAAACGACTCCGCCAAGGTCACACTTAAGAGCACAGAAAATAAACCGGTGGCACTGGGGAAGAGAGAGATTGCTTGCGGCCTGTCCAGTTGTTTGGCTTGAAAACCACAACTGCCGTCAGGTTGTAGAAACCCCGCTAGCCTTTTTACAAGATGGATGCACTTGTAATAAGGGGGTGGGAAACGGCTGTGGTTAGGCCTCAAGGAAAATTCAATTTGTGGTGCATTGCTGCAAGGACTAGATTTTGCCTCTGGGCTGTGGCGAGGCTGGAAATGATTTGGATGGAGGGGGAAGACATGCAGATTCCGTTTTTTACTGGATGAATCTGATTCTTTGCACATTAGTAACGAACAAGCAGATTTCTCTGAGCCACTAGGAAATAAACCTGTTTGCTTGGAGAAAAAGCTACAGCAGGGTCTCTGCACAAGCAATTTTCTGGAGTTTTCGTTTAGTCTAACACAGCCTTTTCCCAACCAAGATCCCACAAAAGCCTTGGACTACAGCTCCAATCACCCTCAGCCAGCATGGCCACTGGGAGGTGTAGTCCAACAATGCTGAAAGCATCAAATTTGAGATTAAAAAGCAGGGGAGGAGAGGGAGGAGTTTTGGAGAAATCCTGCTGCTGAGATGTCTGAGATAGAAGGAATCAGGAAAAGAGATAAGACTTCCGGGGAAATCCTTTAGGGTGATGACTTTTGAGGCCTTTCTTGGCCTACGCTTATTGTTATATTGCCTTTCCACAGAAACCACCAAGGTGCTATATGACAGACAAATCAAAATGAAAGATTAACACAATCATAAAAACCACACCGAACTAGGAAAGGTGCAATTCTAGGCATGTCTGAGCGAAAAAAAAAAGAGCCCCATCACCTCTTAACCACTATTATGCTCCTCATTTGTAGGTCTAACCTTTTAAAATCTGTAAGCCCCGTTCTCTTAGGCCTCCTTTCCCACAGATCTGTGCAAAACCATTTTGTAGGCCTGTGATAAATTTATAGAAAGCAAATCAAGGATTTTGGTTACCTCTTGGCCAAGCCGTTGTACACACGCCCTTGGAGCAAAAAATGAGTTTTGCATTGCGAATAACCCGGACGCCACCTGGCTCAAGGCCAATGGACTGGAGGGTTATGGCTGTACGAATCCATTGCCGTAGATATTTTCATCATCATGGCTTCTAAATTACTGTATTACTGTAGAATGTCATAAATGAGGTACAATTTCAAAGGGCTCAGGGCAAAAAGCCCATTGCAGGTTTTGCCCCCAGCAAACTGAATGGGTATATGAAGCCTGTTTATTTTCCCTTTCAAGGCCATATCTGTGAATGGGGCTGGTGAATGGGTTCTGTCTCTGAACCAGCGACGGGTGGTGACTTTTGAAGAGTGGGTCCTCATTGTAAGCCTCCGCCAAAAGTCGGAAAATGTAGGCCTTGCGGAGTTGATTCTTATTGACCACCCAACTTTAGCCCGTCTTTTGCAAAACTAGTGGGTCTTAATTGTGCCTTCCAGACCAAGCCATCTCAAAACAACCCACCTGACATCAGGAACGGCTCACAAAAATGTACTTGCTGCCTGCAGGAAAATCCATTTTTTTCTCAGTTAACAGGCAGGATTGCTGGAAAACTTGCTAAACACGAAGGTCCATGCAGCCTTCCCTTCGTGACCTAGAGTTGCTGAAAGTAATAATGCATTGTAAGATACTTTTGCCTATCTATGTTCAACCCCAATTTCGCATGGTCTGCCAGATAAACATTTTCGACTCCAGGTATCACAGCATTCCCGAATAGTCTTCCATTCAGGCACTGGCCAAGCCTGGTTGGTTATTTCTTCCTTACAACCATGAAGTGCGACTATCCAAAATAAATATCGGTTATGAAAGACGTGCATGCTTTAAATAAAGTATGCACCCATTCAAGGACTTTGCAATACACAGCAGTTCCCATATTTGCAGAGATAAGGGGAAGGAAAGATGGAATACAGCCAAGGACCCCCAATGAATATAGGACCTTTATTTTAAAAATCAACAATCAAGGGTTTCCCCCCTTAATGACTGAAAATAAATCTGGAGGGAAATCAAAAGTTACAAACAATAGAAACCGACTCAGATCCTATTAGCAGCCATTTTAAACTGTACAAACACAGGATATGCTCACAATCGTGGTTAAACATTCCACTTTGATCAGTTTCCCTCCCTCACCAGTATACATGTCTAAATTATTGCATTACTGTAAAAAATAAAATAATAAAATGAAGAATAGCTCCAAAGGTCTGAATGTCAGAATCCTACCCTTTATTTTGCTCGCAGTTAACTCGATAGGGCTGGTAGGCCTGCCACATATAAATTTCATTTATTTTCAATTATGAGCTCTGGTAAACAGCAATGCACCTTGCCCTGACAGACGTAATGGTGCTTACAATTACAAAACCACTATCTAAAAGTGATCTGAATGGCCCAATTTGGACATTTGCATACCCGGAATCGACAGCCGAACGCAAGGGTCTTGTTTTGCGGTTGTGACATCATCAGTGTGCAGTTTGGTTGCCTAAAATGAGAACTCCGGAGACACCAAAAGCTTTGTGGGTACTCTCTTTCTGACACAAAGGTATTTCAATCTGAATATGGTGGCCAGCAGCCTCTGGACCCCTCCAGATGATCCAGTGCTAGTCTGAATCATTTTTAGTCAAAGCAACTTTCAAAGGACACACATGGAAACCGATCGCAAGTCCACCCTTGGATCAGGGAACCCAGTGACTGAAACAGCCAAATAATCAAAAATCCCATGGCCAAGTCCGAGATGTAGGTTGTTTCCTACCTGTTTCCCCAGCACACTTAATTTCAGGTTTTGTCACATACCAGATAATTAAGGGGAGTAAGTTGTAAGCGTCACAAACATGGTCATTTTGCATTGCCAAGTGGAGGCCACATAGAGTGTCTGTCTCACCAAGAACTCTCTAAGCTTCCTAGTTTGGCCCAGAGCACTGATACTGGTGTCCGTTGGGTGCTAGTTTTTGTGAGCCGACAAATCCCACTGAATTCCAAACACATAGCAACTTCCGACGTCAAAACCATTTCCAGGGAGGAAGTGCCTGAAACATTCTATAAGGGACTTTGTCGGCGAAAAATGTGCCACACTCAAGACAGCGGGCGTGTCGATGACACAACAACCCAGTGAGTTCTTTGCAGCCCCCAAACCCAGAAGGAGGAAAAGCTAGATTAGACTTCTCCTAAAGTTGGTACACTTGGCTGACTTCCTCCTTCAGGCTGTGATGGAAACAGAGAACCACCTCCAAGCTATAACCATTAATAGTTTGAATGAGATAGACCACCCTGGTCTCCAACCCGTGCTGGACTGAATTTGAAACCAGGTTTAAACTTTGGGGAGCATCGGATTTAATGCAGAAAATAGTTCTCTCACTCCAGAATTGTCACTATAGTGACCCTTCCCACAGTTTGTTCAAGAAGTGTCTTCCTCGACCCAAAAGCCACCCAGCTAAGTACAAGCTCTGACACAAAACAGACAGTTCTTCCCGTCGTGTGAATCTGCACGCGTGTGTGGGGGTGTCCAGGAGTGGGGGTTAACGATTGTAGGAGTCTGAGCGAGACCCACACAGTCTGTCTCCTGAGCAGAGAAGTAACCAGCGCTTCTCCGCTTGAGAGAGGTCAGCACTAAGGCACGTGGTGCAAGGCCTGGAAAAGCGAAGCGACCCCGCCGGAGTGGGCACGGCGGACAAGAAGGGGACCAGCCCTTGGCTCTGCCGCGTCCCCTTGGGGAGCACGGCTGCGTTCGCCACAGCTCAGACTTGGCCAAGGAGAAGACCCTGGGACCCACTGTGGACAAGCCGCTACCCTTGTCTGTGTTACTCTCCGGAACCTCTGCAAGATGGAGAAGCAACTGGAAAAGCAAACAAGAAATGCACGTTTGGAAACACTGCAAAATGTTCATACAGAGAAGAAGCAGAGAGATGCCTTTGGCAGGGAAAGTGCAGGAACCTTGCCGGAGGTCTCCGCTAAACGGAATTTCCGAATGCATCATACATGATACCAAAGCGATCAGGGAAGGGTTCCGTGAAATGGCTCAGGCGCAGCTCCTTGGGTCCTCTCTGCCCCAAATTGTGTGGATCACATTGGCTACGTGCATCCATTCCCTCCAGGCATGGGAGGGAGCACCTGTGCATTAAACCATTAAGGCAGGAAGCAACCCGCTGGCATCCGTGGGTTTTTTAGTGGGAAATGCACTCGCAGTCCAGAACATGCTGTTTACCTGTGGCAACTGGCTGGCTCTGGAAATGCTGTGGACAAGGAAAAGTTCTGAAGAGGACAGCTCTGGGACCACGTGTTCCCCAAGAATGCACCTATGACCTCACCTGGGGCCTTGCGCTGCTGTTGCTTTAGGAATCAGAAGCGAGGGCGGAAAACCCGCAGCGTACACGGTAACCTGAGCCGCTGAGGTGGCGTGCGTCCCTCAGGAGGATGAGAACAAACCTGTTCAGCAACACAGTGCCTGTCTCCACCAGTTTGGGTAAAACATTTCCCTTCATACGGGAGGGCGGCCCTCCTCAGCTGGCCACCTTTCCGCTGCTTTGAAAACAACCCCCACTGGTCCACAAGCGTGTCCAGTGGTCTCGGGCGATGGGAACTGCTGTTTAACGTGCTCTGGAAACACCAGGTTGGTGGAAGGCTCTTGTGGGGTGCGCAAGGAAGGCAAGGACACTTCTCCACTGACAGAGCCCTGGCAACAGACAGAAAGAGCACGGAACACTTTTTAAAAGACCTTTGGAGGAACGAGATGGCTTCAGGGGCAGCTAGCTGGTTTGGGAGAGTTGAGATGACCTCGCAACACAGGACGAAACGGTCCCAAGCACGAGATGAAGAAAAGCGAGCCGACTAAAAGAGAATTTCCTCTTAACACTGGTCATCTGGTCCCAAGGCTGGCTTGTTTAACTTTTGCACAAAAGACAGGAGGGGAAAGCCAGTTAAACTTTTCACTTTGACGCAAGAGGTTTTGACTTCCTCGGAACTGAGGGCAACTGGAACGCTGCCAAGCTGCCAATGCAGCACCTGAAACGGTATCTCAAGAAGCTCGTTTTCAAAAAAAAAAAAAAAAAAAGCCAACTTTGCTCCACGGTTAGAAAACACCTTCACTGGGGATACAGAGTGCCTCTGATTAGGAAGCCTAGGTAGGGCAGGAGGTTTGCAGGAGAGAAGCAGGCATCTGTTTCGAGAGCCCTGGAGAGAAATATGAGCCGAGTCACCAAAAGAAATGCCGCCAGAGAAGATGGTCACGTTCGGTCTCTTGCACCCGGAGCACCTACGTCTCAACAAACCAAGGATCTGTCAGCACGGACAAAGATGCGACTTAAGGCAGCCTCCTGAACCGTCTCCTCAACACTTACAACGCGGACAAACCGGATCCAGGGATCCGGCTGTCCTCCCAAAACAAGTCGGCCCCTCTCCCTAGATCATTCAGCAAGGCTATTGCACATAAATTTCAGTACACATGCAAATTGGCATACATATATAGGCCCCATATATATACATAGATATATATACACAAAGAAAAAAAAATAAAATTTGGTTTTACAAAATAAACAGAAAAGATTCTATTTCTCAATCATTCACCAATGCCCTGAGAACTGGATCAAGATACAAATGCACATGGTGGTGCATAAAGGGTGCCGGGGCTTAAATATAATTTAATTTCTATTTTACACTCTCCCTCTTCCCATTTCTGCTCCGACTGCTGCTTAGTACGCAAAAATAAACGTTTTCCTTCCCACTGTGAAAGAGGCCTGTTTTATCTACAGATGCACAAAGCCGGGATGGCCACGGCAGCATCCGTCTTGCGGCTGCTTGCTAGAAATTCCCCCAGATGCCATTGTTCTTTCTGCTGGGTTTAAAGGTGTCATTTTGAGAGCGCTGGAGGAGTCCGTGAAGAGTGGTGGCCTTCTCCCTCCCGCTGCCCGGTGCAGCGCGATGTGGCTAGCAGGAGCTTGCCTGGAGGTTCCCTTCCGTCAGAAGCGACGTGATGGAGGACGGGCCGTAGGCACTGTCAAATTCTTCGTCTGAGCTCAAGTGGTCATCGTTCAGAGACGACTCGGCTGTGGTGCGGGTTGTTTTGCGCCTAGGTCAGGAGGAGGAGAAGGCAAGTGACAAATTTGCAGCCTCTGAGGTTGGGCGGAGACCGAAGCACCTGCCCTGCGCTGGGAAGTGAAACGGACCGAGTGCTTCCCCACTTTAAAGCAAGAGAAGGTTACCCTTTGCTAACCCTCCCAGTGTTTTGGACTACAATGCCCAGAATTCCTGACTGGGGGACAGCCAACATTTGGGACTCCGACTCCCACCGCTGGCCCATCATCCTGCTTCCACCTTGGGCAGCTCACGTGACGTGGGAACACACTCGCATCCCGGGTGTATTTGCGTATGTCTTGGGCAGCCTCTCTCAACCCTTCCGTCCTCTGGGTCTGGGATGTGCCCTCCGGAAGCTTTGGCCGCCCTGCCGGGCTCAGCCAACAGGGTCACGTGCGGGCCATCAGAAACATTTGGGGGGCACCTGACGGAACGACCCTGTGTTAGATGTCGCCGGACTGCGGGTCCAATCAGCCCCAGCCAGTATAACTGAGGGCCAGGAACCACGATGGGAGCCGAAGCCCAGCGCTGCAAGGGCTCTGACGGACGACCGGCCTGTTCACGCCTGTGTTTCCCTCTCGCTGCTTCATCTGCAGCCACCAACATTTCAAAGGTGAACTGCCTGGCGCAAAGACTTGTCCTTCCGGCTTATACTGCCCTGGGGGGTGCCACCCCCCCCCAGTGGAACTCGAGGGGCTGCGTGATGACAAGCGTGGGAAAGGGCCGAGGCGGGGGGCCTACCAGAGGTCCTTCTCCAGGGCCTTGATGCGGCCCTGCAGCTGCTCGTTCGTCTCGTGCTGCTCCTCCAGCTCCCGCAGGGCCTTCTTCCGGGCAGCCTCCAGCCGCTCGATCTCTTCCTCTGCCGTGTCCACCTGCCTCTTCAGCGCTTTGACCCGCAAGCTCAGCTGTGCAAGCGCAGAACGGAGGACAAGGCAATGAGGGAGCGGGCCCCTGCTCCGGGACTGAGGTCCTAAGAGGCGCTCAGCAAGGCCGCGTTTCCATCTCTGAGCTGGGACGGAAATGCAGCGGGATCCGCCTGATGCAGGTCCTTCCAGGGCGGTCCTGGGGCCTCCGACTCGCTGCAGGGCCCTTTCCCAGCCCGACCTGGACCGAATCTGGGAACTGCCGTTTACAGAGATAGTGCTCTACCGCCTTTCCCTCTGCCCTGTCCCCTTTAAAACTACAGCGTTTTCCTTTACAGGTCCCAGTTTCTTACTCAAAACCCCCACGAGTGAGTACCTGGGGACAGATCCCACCTAGGACGAGGGTGTTGTTCTATTCTGGCAGCCGCTGGATGCACACAACACCACCGCCAACGTTCGAGGCAGAGTATGGGTTGCTGCTGAACCACGGACGGCGACGTCATCCAAAACCAGTCAAGCTAGCAAGCCACAGTTCGTTACCACGGCTGGGTTCAGGCAACGGAAAACCTCCACTTCAACTACAACCCACAGTGCCGTGACACCCCCGATTCTGATTTCGTGAGGAACCCGGTCTCTATCTCAACCTGCTCCGCCCGGCGGGAGCAGAGAAGCGGTGCTTGTATCGCCACCCTCCGCCCGACTCACTTGGTCCTTCTGGTCATTCACGTGCTGCCTTTCGTCATCGATCTGGATTGTCAGCTCCTTCACCTTTCGCTCCAGCTTGCGGTTCGACGACACCAGAATGCTTTTCTCTCTGCACCGGCAAAGAAAGAGGGGCCGGGGAGGGAGCTGTGAAGGCTCACGCACTCTGGACGTTTCCTCTCACCCCCCCCCCCCCGCGTATTCTAACTCGTGCTGCAAGAAGAGGGTTTTCAATCAAATGTTTCTGCTCAAATACTTTCGGCTACCGGGGAAAAAGGCATTTCTATCGGATGTGAAATTAGCATGAGATGCTTCAAGGAAAAACCTTTCTCCTCTAGATCGAAGGGAAACCAAACAGCAACGGAGCCTGGGCCAAGGGAAAAGTTGCCCAGTCAAACAGGCTTTCCAGTTCAAAATTCTCTTGAAGGCTCACATCATGGTTAGTGATGCAGGAAAAATCGGTGCCAGCATGGGATGGTTGCCTAGAACTCTTACTATTACGGTCTTCCAAAAACTTGCAAACGTATGCATGTACTATATAAGGTCCCGTTATTTACGGTGAGTTGTACCATGGGATGACCTCCATGCGGACGCACAAATCTACACCCAAGTTCCTACGGATAGCTTATTAGCCTGATTTATGGAAGGTGGGGTGGGTGAGGGGAAAGAGGCCTCTTGTCAGTGCGACTAATTCAAAGCTTTAGCCTTTGGTAACCTGCCACGCTATACAGCGACAGAGTCTGACTGGCTTCTGCATGTTTCAAAGGAGAGGGCAAAGCAAACTTGGAATACGTGTCATCTGGGATGCTTGTCCACCATGGCGACATTCCTGGGAGGTTTGAGGCTGTAGCTCAGTGCAGATGGGACTCGGAATTATGTGTCCGAGAACCGGTCTGACCAGAGACGACGTGGCTTTTGCCTGGTGCGAGCGCCAACACTGGCCCTCTCCTTCCAGGAAGGGTTGGGGTGGCACGTACCTCTCTTCAGCCTGGAGCTTGTCCTGAAGGTCTTGGATGTGCGACTCCAGCTGCGAAACGTTGGCGCTGGGCTTCTGGAGGCCCTCGCTGCTCGTGAGGCGACTTTTGAGGTCTTTGTTCTGGAAAGGGGGATTTGAAAGCATTACTGGAAACGGAGGGGAGCCGAAGCCAATGGAGATGGTCTTCCTGGGGAGCCTGAAGAGGCCCAGCTGCCTTAGAAACGGAAGGCAAGCTACTGGGGGCCCCACATGGGTCCAGTGATACCTTTACCTGCCAATGAATTAATGGGAACTGCCCAGAGAGCTTCAGTTACGGGCAGTGTAGAAATGTGATGAATAATACCCGTAATTTTAAAAGAAAGAGGCAGGCTCTGAAGTGACTAATTGCTCAGAAGGCGTTGGCTTGCTCCCAACAAGCTCTACTCACAAGTCCTGAACACGTGCGAGCCAATTCGAGTCAAGAGACAAGCCTCTGAACGTTACTCTGAACGGGTCCTATTCTTCCAACGTTTGTTCTGGCGCTCCTGGCAGGCTCTGAAGAGCGCTGCGAGGGTGACCTGATGGATTACGTCAGGCTGCAGCCCATGTGCCTTTGCGCAAGCGCTCCCCAAGCCTCAGGCGGGACCTGCCACTAGCAGAGCTGGTCCCCCCAAGGAGGGGGGCGCCAGATTAGATGTAGCGGCTCCTGTTGACACACCCGCCTGCATTGCTTGGAAAAATGGATTAAAGGCACAATCCCGTGCAAGTTGGGACAGAGAAGAGTCCAGCAGCCTCGACGTGCTGCTGAATGTTGGGAGTCGCAGTTCTCCTCCTGTCTCGGCGTGCCAAGGGTTGCTGCTCGAGGGTAGCTCTTCTTCTGAACTATTTGTGCAACTCAAATGGAAAGCATATGGGGTCCTCCCGCCTCCCTCTCCTGGTCGCAAGCGGTCAGGAGCCGCCACGCACAACGCACCCGTCTCCCAAGGCCCGTGCTTGCTGGCGTGGATCGGCGAAAGAATTACCCCCGTCTGGAGCCATTTGCTCTGCCAGTGACGCCGAACAAGGGGCAGGGGGCAGAGGAGGTTCGAGTGTGTGGCCTGAGAGTCATCAATCCTGTTGCAAGCCTCTAGCGGTGGCCGAAGGCTGAGTCAGGCAGTTATAGAGGAGCGCTCAACAACATTACGTGACGCCTCAAGCCAGGTGGAACCAAATCCACCTCCCCTCCCCACATCTGAATAGGAAGTTTCATTAGTGGAGTTATATAACCGTAATTATTTTCCCCTTGGATTGAAGTGTGGCCAAGTGGAACCAAAAAAAAGTGTGTGTGTTTTAAACAAAAGCGGCACAGAATCCCACAAGGGCTGTAAACAGCTCTGTGTTCAAACAGGTTTTGGGCACTGGCTCCGGAACAGTAGCAGCGATGGGAAAAAGAACTTTTGCAAGCCAGGGATGTGAAGCCTGTTGCCTCAGCAGGAGCCAGGACTCCACGTCCCCCTTAAAACGGCAGTTTTTGTTTAACTGAAAAGGAGCGCTTGCAGATCTAAAGGCCTAGGCTGAGGGAGGTGCAAAGTAGAGCTACCAAATAACATCTTGTGACGTTTTGTTTGTTGTGCTAAATGGGGCTAAAATTCCATGACTAGCGCCCAAGCAGCAGACAGCGACACTGGCCCGTTAATGAAAATAGTTCTCCCACGGCAACGGCAACTCAGCGCTTTTATTGGGATGCATTAGAAACTGACAGCACAGGGCAAGCCTTCCAGTTCCCCACAACACTTCTTTCTGTGGGATGTTAAGCAACACCTTCTCTCTCTCTCTCTCTCTCTCTCTCTCTCTCTCTCTCTCTCTCTCTCTCTCTCTGTGTGTGTGTGTGTGTGTGTGTGTGTGTGTGTGTGTGTGTGAGAGATTAACAGTGCAAAGAAGGGTTCTACTGAACTTGGACGCTCGTTCAGTGACAGAGAAAACCAGCCCTAATAAAAGGGCTTATAAAAATGTTGCCCTATTAAGAATTTTGGATAGTTATGCGTTAAGCATAACTAGAGCACATTTGGCCTAAAAAAGGGTTGAACTCCATAGGAGGCTCCACCTGGGTGTTCCCTCATCCCGACAGGTGAAGAGCAACTTTGGGTAAAAGGGAGAAAGCGCTGCTTCCTATCTTGCCACATCACCTTTCGACTTTACAAAAATGGGTGCTTCCATTTGTGTATATCCCAGAACCTTGTCCAGTTTGGCCCCATAACTTCCTTTCGATTCCCATTGTGACATAAAAGCAATGAAACAACAAAGCTATTGATAGCGTGGAATCGCAGAGCCCTGAGGGTCTGGCCCTCTCACCCCGCATCCCCTGTTCCTTTAGGTTCGAGGAATTCCAGCTTTGCAAACATCAGGTACTGACCGAAAGACCAACTACATCAAGTCAAGCCAGAGCTTTCCCTAGAAGCAAGAATGACAAAACTCTGGACACATCCTGAGAAGGCAAGACTCCCTGGAGAAGACCGTCATGTTAGGGAACGCCGAAGACAGAGGGCAAAAAGGAAGATCCAGCAGGAGATGGATTGAATCCGTAAAGGAAGCCACAGGCTTGACCTTGAAGGAGCTGAATGGAGAGGTCATGGGTGGGCCTTCATTCACAGGATCGCTATGGGTCGAAGACGACTGGACAGCGCTTGGCAACCACTACCCCGAAACCCTGATGCCTCTCTTGGCAGCCTGAGGGCCCAGGCCCCCGAGTTGGTGCCCTGCACAGGAGGCTGGGATTATTATTATTTTTTATTATTATTATAGCATTTCTATGCCGCCCCTTGCCGAAACCTCTTGGATTTGCAGTCCAACGCATCTGGAGGAAGTTGCTTGAGGGAGGCTGGCACAGCAACAGGGGACAAATGAAGAAAGGGGCATTTCCATGCATATCCACTGCGAGGTTCCGCAGCCTCAGCCACCAGGAGACAGAGCCCGAAATATCTGGACGGTGTCGGGCTGGGGAGGGCTGGATTAGATCAGATCAGGCTGAACGCGCACGATGGTTCTGGACGGGAGTGGGGCGGCACAAGAACCGCGTGAACTTGATCACTGTCTTGAGGAAGGATGACGAATGGAAACCCCAAAACTCTGGCTGGGGCCTTGTGCCCACCGTGAAAACTGCCTTGAGCCCCGTCAAGGAAGAGCAGAGAAGTATGTTGTCAGAAGACAGGCAAAAGAGAGTCCAAACGGTAAAAGCGGGAGGCAAAAAGCAACCCTGATTCCAGATGCCAGTTCAAACAGACCAGCTTAGAACTCTTTGGCTACAGTGCCATAGCCATGAGGATGTTTAAACAAGAAAGCTGCCAATCCCACTAAATTAAAAATAAGAAAAGGAGTCCTCCAAGAGGTGCACTATGCACCCTCCTCCCCATCCTGTCCTCTCGGTGACCACCAACTGGCCAAAGTCTCACTCTGAGCTCTGGCCTGGGAGGCAGGCACGCGAGTCGACCGCGCTCTTGCCTGGCCGAGCTGAGCCGCCCGGCCCGGCCCGGCGGTGCGCTGCCACCATGCGCGGAGGGCCCCGGGCACACTTCGTGCCAGGGATGCAACGGCATCCAAGTCAGGTGTCCCCGAAATTAATTACGCAGAGAGAACAAGAACAGCTCAGGGATCTTGTTTATTAAAAATGACTCGGGTGTGCATTGGCTTTAAAGCAGTGCTTTTGCATAAACCCCAGTGCAAGCCCGGACAGGGTCGGCCTGCGCCGGAGACACAGCAGCGAGGCGGAGGAGAGGATGAAAGAGCCGCTGTGGACGCGGTGCGGAACAGCAACGGAAGCTGTTGGACTCAGAACAGACGGGGCAAGGAGATTGCCTACGGGCACCAGAGCAAAGGGGAGCTCACCTGTGCCACTCTCCTGCACAGGTGTGGCCTAGTGGCTTTGTCCCATCCCCCTCACCACGGACCCCAAAGCCTTAAGCGCACTCCTTACCAGTGGGGTGAATGGATCTGCTTAAGCCTGTTCCTTTCCCACTTCAGAAGAAGTGTCTGGCCATAGTATCTCGGCTTCATTCCAGTGCCAACCCCCGCAAACCAGCTGCCGGATCCTAACAGTTTCCCAGGGCCTCCACACAAGAGCCCCCTGCCCTTTGCTCACGACCCAGTCTCCAGCCTCCGACAGGGGCCTCCAATGGGGCGGTGGAAAAAATTAGACACAAACCACAGGAGCATTCCTCCTCCGGCTCATTATGCAAATCATTTGGGCTTAGTAATGGAAAAAGGCAGGTTAAGAGACTCAATTCCCCCCCCCCCCGCTCTCTCACATACTCTCTCCATTTTGGATGCATGTCAAAGTGAGGCATTTGCAAACCAAGCCCTTTTAATCTTCATCCAGTGTATGAATTTCAGCGATGCCTCCTTCCTAATCCAAACACCTCTCGACTTGTTAACACGCCCTTCTCATTCCCTTCTCGCTTTTCAAAGAATGCTTTCTCAGTCAGGATGTCATCTTAAAATGTTATTCAGAACTGGTTGGTAACAGAAAAGGCTCGGCTCTGTTTACCTTTCTAGCCCCACCCTACCATTAGTAGCTTAAGAAGTGGCCTTGGCTCCACCAGCCATTGGCTGGACTGCGGTGCGACGTCACGGAATATTCACAAACATTCGCGAGAGAAGGGAGTGGTCAGCCACACAACGGACTTACTGCGGCTTCCTGCAGAAGAGAGGACTGGCTGGACTGGGGGTAAACCAGGCACCAGATGTCGGCTCTTAGCCCGCAAAACTTTTAAAACGGCTTCCCCAAAGCTGGCGGAGTCCAGCTGTAGCAGAAAGAGCCTTAAGGCATTGTACAGACCGTCACTGGCGTGGCAGCCCACGCCTCGACTTTAGTGGCAGAGGATGCGATGCTGTCCGTGTTTCGACCGAAAAAAAGGCCGATGACGTCCTGCATGCCCTGGGCACAGCAGGGCCGTTCTCTCCCGCAAGAGCAGCGGCCAAGTCTCGAGCAGAGACGCCACGACCGCCTGCTGTGTGTGAGCCGGCCAGAGCCAAAGCAAAGGGGAATGAGTGGCGGAAGCACGCGGGAAGCAGGGGGAAAATGGCCCCAGCGTCTGTTGAGGCCCACTCTGAACTGACGTAGAGAGGCACCCCGAGCAACAAAGGCAAGAAAGCTTCTCCGGGCGCCGGAGGAAAACACTTACAGCGCCAAGCCATTTGTGTCGTTTCTGGGGGCAGACAAGCTGGAGGCGCCTGGGTTTTGGCCGACAATTGCCTTTGCTCCTGACGGCTGGCTGCACCTACCCAAAAGCCCCAGAGGGCACCGGCTGCCTAGCCTTGGCAGCTCCCCTTTTGCCATGGATGCAGAACCCAGTGGAGGCTCCCAAATTCTCCCCACTGCAGCAGTGGTATAATACAAGACCCCAACCCAGGTTTGAACGGCCGGGTCTGGCCTTCCGGCACGGGTGTTTGAAGCCCTGAACAGCCTGGGGGCAGGAAACCTCGGGCGGAGCTTCCCCCCTCGGTGCCCTGCCCACTCCCCAAGGCCACCTGAAGGCATGGACCCCTTGAGGGCGATGACCCCCCCCCCTTTGTGGCACCCCCCTTGGAAGCATGTTTATGTCAGAAAGCCTTCCTTGGCTTGGTTCCTTTTAACTGATTCCCTGCTTTCTTATGGGGTTGCATGGTTTTAAATCTGCTTCTTATTCAGTGCCCCACAATCTCTGTTTAGGCCTGCTGAAAGCAAAGGAACAGAACCGCAGTTACAGATGCACGACAAGCACGTGGGAGGCCCAGAATGCCCCAGAGGGCTCTGGGATTGGAGCCCGGGGCGCCGCCACCTCACCTGCCTTTCCAGAGAGACCTTATCACACTCCAGGTCCTGGCGGATGGAACGCTCCTGCAGCAGCTCGGCTCGCAGCTGGTCGATCTAGAGGCAAGAGGGGCGGCAGCATCAGCAGGGCAGGCGTGTTGCGCCCGGTCAGAGCGCCATCTAGTGCAGGCAGCCTGCTCTGGAGTGCAGATGAGCCTGAGCTCACTCCTGCTGCTTGTCCCTGGCAGCTAGCATTCCTGGGTAGACTGCATCTGAACATGGAGGCTTCATTCCTGACTAAGCATGGCTGCTCAGAGCATAAGAGTCCTGCTGGGTTCAAATACAGGCCCATCTTGTCTAGGGACAGACAGATGCCCCCTGGGCCTGAAGACAATAGGCATGCCCCACAGCAACCACAGGGGTCAAGGGCCTTTCTTACCACAGGGGTCAAGGGCCTTTTCTCAGCAAGGAAAAGTTACGACTTCTGGGATGACCCGTCTTAGGAAATAGATGGAGTTAAAGCAAACTTGATAGAATTCTACACACTTTAGCATGATTATACTTTACATTTATATCCCGCCTTTCTCTCTTTTGCAAGGAACCCAAGACTGCTTCCTTAATTTCCTCCTGCTCTCCCTTTTATCCTCACAACAACCCTGTGAGGTGAGTTGGGCTGAGAGTGCGCTTCATGGCCAAGTGAGGACTAGAACCCTGATCTGCCCAGTCTGGGTCCACCACATACAGAGAAACTTGAGAAATTCAGAAGCAGGAGACTGAACTGAGAGGCTAACAGAAACCAGTCCCTGAATGCTCCTCCCAGCAGAATCCGACCCTTGACTCAAGGTGGTTCGACAGTCTTGCTTCAGGCAGGCAGTAGGCAGAGATCAGACTTGCATGATCCATTTGGATTTCTACTAGAATCCCTGAGACCTGGCAACCAGAAAATGGTGCAGACGAGAGTCTCAGGGCAGTGGAGCGCTAAAGAAAAAGGAAGAGGGAGCTTCTTGACCCATATTTCTGAAGCTGACGGTTCACGAGCAGCCAAGATGGCTTCCGCGCCTCACCTGGTCTCGAGTGCGGTTGATTCGCTCGGTGAGCAGCTCCACCGTGTTCTTCTCCTCCTCAAGCTCCACTTCCAGCCGCTTCGCTTTGTCCTGAAATTTCAGCGACAGGTTTATATTACAGGCAACTGCACCCCAAGTTCCCACACTCAGATTTCTAAATGCATGAAATAAACAAGCAAAAAAGCCCGAGTTTCTATGTTCCACCAGTTGTGAGAGAAAAGTTGCAGGATTTCGAAATGCTACAGGAGTGGAGAAAGAACAGAGGCGGGTTTTGTTTCATTCTGCAGAACTCCATGTAGGAAAATACAGGCTTTCATACCTTGCAAAGGATGACAAACGTATCTGTGCTCTTCTTGAGACTGTTTGTTTTTTTTAAGATTGAAAATTACCTGCTTTAACCATCATTGCTCAGAAGCAAGACGATGGATTTGACTGAGTGGCGACACTGCCCCCTGCTGGTACAGGGAGAGCTTTGCCTGTGCTGGGTGCTCCCCTGTTGTGGCGAAGGCACTGCTTGAAGCTCAAGGAAAAGCCTTCCCACATTTCTGGGCATGTGTTCTCCACCCCACAACCCTTGAAGCCCCTCCTATTCTGAATCTCTACTCTCTTTTCGGAGCTGCTGGGGGAGCAGGGGACGTACGGCAGTCTTTGCTGGATTGTGGGTGTTTAGGCTAGCCAAGTGCCCGGAGAACCTGTTCTTGCCCCTCCTCTCGTTAACAGCAACAGAGGTCCTTTTCTTGTGGTGTGGCCCAGCCATTTGCAACCCTAGTTTGCTCCTGAACCAACAATTAACCAAACAAAAATCCCCCCCGCCAATACTACGCAGGGCACTTGGAAAAAAGCAGTCAGTGCAGAGTTGCTGGAAGCAGAGAGAACACAAACCTCCAGCGACTTGGCCTGGCGGGACCGATCTTCCTGGGACCGCCTCTTGGACTCCATCTCCTGCTGCAGGTTGTTCAGGCGCTGGGCCAGCAGCTCCTTGTCAAAGATGGCGTTCTCCCGCTCCGCCTGGGTATCTTGCAGGGCCTGCTTGAGCCGAGTTACCTTGGGGGAAATAAGTGGGGAGGGTGACGTGGGCAGAACGTTTCCAGGAACTTGGAAACGTTGGGTGTTCGTTTTGAAAAGGCGCACGTCTCGTCTTTAAGCACGCCGCCTATTTTGCTTTTCTGAAAGAGCACGCAGGACTGCCGAGAGGGCACCTTCACCTGCTAAAAGGCGTGGAAGGAAACAAGACTTCTCCACATCCCTTTCTCAGGTTTGGTTTACTTTGGCCTTGAACCCAAAGGCACTCGCTAGATCGAGGAAGGGGAGGAGAACCCTCTTCCCGCCTCACCTCGTCCTGCAACCTTCCCAGATTATACTGCATCTTCTCCACTTCGGCATTCCGGTCTTTCGCCTGCTTCTGAGAGTCGGTGATCTCCCTGCGGGATTTCTCCTTGTACTCTTCCAGCTGTGACTGCAGTTCAGACAGCGCGTTGTGGGACTCTGCGGACATCTTATCGAGCTGGGAAGGGAGAGGAAGTCCCGATTACCCACAATTCTGGTTCTGACCCAGCACAATTCCATCCCATCCCTCCTGTCTCTCCCCGTGGCTCTGTCTTCTTCAAGAGGACAGGCCTTCCGTGTCCAGATGTGGGGGCCAACCAGGGAGCCTACGGTCATCTCCCTGGGATGCACAGACTGCCCTTCTGGGAGTCTTCCAAGCAGCGTTTGCCCAGTTACCGTTGGAGACAGGATGTTGGACCAGGCTGACTTTTGTCCCATCACGTGAGGCACTGCAGCTAGGAGTGGAATTTCCCAACAGAAGCCCAGCACCCCTCTGCGAAGCAAACGTCCCAGGCACATAGGAAATGGTTCTTTCCCAGGGAGTGAAATCAGAGCCTCCCAAACCAGCCTGGGGGACACGGCCCTTCTGCCCTCCTTTGTCCGCAGCAGCTGGCGTGCAAAGACGCGGAGCAGCCGGGTGCAGTCGGACAAGCGCACGCACCCCTGGGTCATCTCTGCAGGCTGTTCCGGCTCAGCAGGGCTAGACGGGCACCCGCCACTCACCTCTTTCGTTAGCTTCCCGATGCTCTTGTCCAGCAGCTGCTTCTGCTCTTCCAGCTCGCTCTTGGCTCGCTTGAGCTGTTCTTTTTGCTTCAGCTCCTCATGGTACGAGGCGCTCAGGTCCTGGTGCTCCCGCGAGAGCCGGCTGAGGCTCCGCTGGGCTTCCTCCAGGCGGCTCTCCAGCGACCGCTTGGCCAGCAGCAGCTCCTGCTCCTGGTCCGTGGCGTTCCCCAGGGAGTCTTCCATCTGCTTGCGGTCCGCCTGGAAGGCAAAGGGGCGCAGGGCGCGCGCTGAAGTGGACAAGCGGGGGAAAACACCCACCGCAAGAGACATGCAGCATCCGTTCAAACCCAGAGGGCATTTTCAGATGGACAGGGCAGAAAGATTCCTGCCCCGAGGAACTTATACTGCGCACTAGACAGGACTGACAACAGAGAGAAGGGACAGAAACAGAGGAGGAGGCATGCACAGGGGTGGAGGATATGCATCCTTGTAATCCTTTTCCCAGCATCTGTTCAGCCACTGCTGTTGCCTTTACATACAAGAGATCAAATAAGTGGTCTTTCCGGCAAGAAAACCACGTGATCTTTTAAATTCCTGGGATCTCCAGCATCCTGTCATTGGTACCATGCAAATGGAGAAGGCGGCCAAGAGCTCACGGTCCCAGTCCCCTCAGCCTGCATCCTAAGAATCATCTCGACTGATTTTTCACATTTTCCAAGCCTTGGGGATGTGCATCTGCTGCTCAGGACTTTGGATCGAAATGTGCATGGCTTGAAGACATTTATTTCTCTGAGGCTTCCTGAACCGAGTCTGATGTAAAAGCAAGAATTTCATGCTTGCCTGAAAAGAAAGGGGATTTCAGGATCCCAAACCTGGCGTTTCTGCCAAGCACGCAAAGTGCTTGTTGGTGTAATCAGAAGTTGACTTTAGCTGGAGGAGACTGTTTGTTGAAGGAGAGATTATCCTGTTAGCTGTTAGCCTGAAACTTTCCTTAAGTTTACACACAGATCAAACATATTTTTGGGAAAGAAGCGAGATTATCGCTCCCTGTGAAGCCCTTCCGCTACATCCCTTGAATTAATACGCCCAGGTGCCAGCCAGCAGAAAGCACTGTTCACACTGCTTCTTTGTACTTTGGCCGCTTCCCGAAGTTGGCAAAAGGTCAAGGGACCTGCTAAAGGAGACGTGAACCAAAAAAGGGCCAATTCAGATTCAGCACTGGAAGACCAAAAGCATCCTGTAAAACCAGAAACAACTTTCTGACCCAAAATGCAGTCACTAATTCCTGGTATTTCTTCTGCAAGCTCACACACGTAATTTTAATGTGCATCACAAAAGCTGACTTTTGCCATTAATATTATTATTATTATTACTCCTAATTATTTCTTTTTATATGGCATGATCCACAGACAAAAAATGAGAGGGTAGGTCTCTGCCCCAAGAGACTTTAGCAAAAAGAAAGAGAAGGTGACAGAAGGGGAAAAGGGAGAAGAACATTGATTTTGTTAGTTAAAAAATGCCAGGGGAGAAGGAGCAAAAGGGATCCATTTCCTGAGCCGCAGGATTAAGGACAAGACAAAAAAGTTAAATGCATTAAAACAAGACTTCCCTGAGACAGTGAGGAGCTCCTCCCATTCCCACCAGTGCTTTATGGTAGACAGTACCTGTACACGGAGATTGACTTCTCAGCTGTCACCTTTCAAAAACCCACAAATGGGACCTAAAGGCAAGACTCCTTCCTCCGGTAACCTCTGATGAACTAGAAGTTTCCCTTAACCACCATGACAAAACAAAATGGCTGCCTTCACGGCAAGGGGCCAGATTCCGGAATCCTGAGTGCTCAGGACTGATTCTTTCTCCACTCATCCTAACAAAGGCCTATCACGAACTGGGACCTAATTCACGGCCACAGTATTAAACGAAGAGGTTTAAAAGAAAAACCGGGAGCCACGGGATTCCTTCTCCCTTGAGTACCTCTAGCTTGGCAATCTTTTCTTTCAGTCTGGTCTCCACCTCCTGCCAGTTGTCCGCAAAGTGCCGGAACTCCTTCAGCTGCGACTCCAGGCCCAGGATCTTCCGCCGGAGATCGTCGTTTTCCTCCTGTGTCTCCCGCAGCGTGGACTCAACGGCCTTCTTCGTTTGTTCGGTTGCCTCTTTCTCTCCCTCCAAGGCAGCTTTCACCTGAGAAAAGGGGCAAGGAAGAATGTGGCTAAGAAGCGACTAAAGGCAGATCTGCCCGCCCTGCACACTTGCTCCTGATAAACTCCTCGCACGGGGCACATCCCACGGCTCCGCAACACAAGCAGAGTTTCGCCCTTTCCGCCTCGCCAGAGAGCCCCCTCGCCCACCCGCCCGCCAGCCAGCCAGCCAGCAGGCAGGGCGCCAAGCCTGTTCCCGGGCCCTCCCGATCCGTTCCTCCCAAATCCTTGCCTTGAACACCTCCTCGCACTCCTTCTGGAGGCGCTGCATGTTTTGCTGGAACTGCTGCTTCAGCTCCTCGGCCTCCTGGTCCCGGCTGGCCACCTCGTCCTCAAGCGCCTCCTTCAGGCTAAGCAGCTCCCTCTCCCGCTGCCGCAGCACCTCGTCCTGGGCCTGCTTCTCCAGGGTTAAGTCCCTCAGCTGCTCCCGGGACTCACGCAGCTCCTGGCAGGAGGAGGAGGAGGAGGAGTTTAGCACGATTCATCAGAAGAAATGGAGCCCAGGTGCCTGGGATAGGTGAAGCAGCCCATGAAGAGCGCTCCCCAAGCTATCAGGGGTCAGTGCCCTTTCTGGGCCTGGGGCGCATCTGGGAACTTGAACCACCTCAAAGTGGACCCATGGACTGCGCTCTGGCATCTGCCGGTCACACGCCTGGCCCTCAGGCTGCACCGCGCCTAGGAAAACCCGTTGTTCCAGGATTATGGGGCATCCCCAGGCCTCGGCTGTGGGCTGATCTATCCCGTCGGGACTCCCAGCAGGCAACCTGGGATGCCAAAAGGACCCCGAGGGAAGAACAGTCCCCACTGATCGACTTCACACAGGCTGCTCGCAGCTGGGGAAAAGCCCAGTCCCTCGGCTCTAGTGCCCAGCTCAGCGTGAAATGAAGAGCACAGCCACGCAAGCTGGAGACCCAGGCGGTGCCTCTGCTCTGGCAAGCTCTTCTCCACAAGAGCCAGCCGAGCGCCCCTGGAGAGCCCACCGACAAGGCCCGGGGGCAAAACCGCTCCTTCCCCTCTGAGTGTGGGCAGGGCCCGGGGCTGCTGGAGCAGGCTGGCAAGAGTCGCTCCCAGGGCTTCCGAGGAGCTCCTTCCTCCCTTTGCCTGGAGATGCCGGGAATCGAACCCGGGGCCTGCTGCATGCACTGGGAACCGTGGCAGTCCCAGCCTAACAACACCAGTCCAGCCAGCGGTCCCGGGAATCACCAGGCCTGCCACGGACAGCCCGACGGACCCCGGCCTCACGCCCACCGCTCAGCGCACCTTCCTGAGGGAGGCGGCCTCTCCGGCACTCCCGGCGCTGCTCCGGGCCTGGTCCGCCTCCTGCCGCAGGGCGGTGACGCGCTCGCGCGCCTCCCTCAGCTCCTCCTCGAGGTCTTCGCGCTCCATCTTCACCTGCATCAGCCTGGAGAAGGGCAGTTGTGGGGCGAGGGGTGGGGCAGAAAAGCAAGAGAGCGCTGATCAGGCGGCCCCTCTCCGCCAAGGGCCTGACCCCGTCCGAATGTCGAGCGGTCCTGGCTGGGCGGTCCCACACGCCGCCCGGGCTCCTCGACTCAGTCGGGAGGGGGCCCGATCCACCCAGGGCAAGAGGGGCTTACTCCTGCTTGGTGCCGCGCAGCTCCTCCTTGTTCTTCTGGAACAGCTCCTTCCAGTGGGCCACCTCCTCGTTGCTCTCCTGCAGCTCCCTCTGCAGGTTCCGCACCACGGAGTTGATCTTCTGCCTCTCGGCCTCCAAGCTCGCCTGATCCTGGCGGAACACGCGCAACACGAGTTCATGGGGAAGGGGCGCTCCCGCAAGCCTTGTGGCACTCCCGCCCAGGCCTCTCCTTCCTCATTCTGCCCAGGACTGGAACCCTCGCCCTTCTTCGCCCAAAGGGGCAGAGGAGGCGGTAAAGCGCTGGAACCGGGGCTCACGTAATGCGATGCTTCCCCGTAACGCTTGCTCCCGCCACACCCTGCACAACAATATCTAGCATATCAGGGAGAAGGTACAGCTAGAACCCCCCTTCTTACTGGGCCAGCCGTCTGCATGCAAGGAACTCTTAGCTCTGCACGCAGGACAGCATTCCGTCATGCACCCCGTGGCCCCCTCAGCTGCTGCCTGCAGGAGGGAGTCAGGGTGTCGGCCCTCGTTCGGCCCACGAGCTGAACTCCATCCCAGAGGCGCCCTTAGGGGGCCACGTTCCAGTGGTGGGTGGGAGAAGAGGGGGGCTCCAAAGTCACAAAGGGCCGGGGCCAAATTGCCAGACGGCCAACACGCTTTTCGCTTAAGGTTCTTACGACTGGGAAAGAAGCGTTGGGACCTCCTAGGAGGAGCAGGAAAGTGGGAAAACCTTGGCCCCACAGGCCACTGGGTGAAAGGGGTGGAGCCAGGGCAAGGGGCAGGGCCTTCTGCTGACCTTGGGGGGCTTGAGATCCTGCCCCTCCTCGCAGGCCCAACGCACAGGCCCGGTGGAGGGGGGGGTGCCCCGCCGACGTACCTGTGAGACGTCTTCCATGTTGCGCCGCAGCTGCTCCATGTCCTGCTGGTACTGCTGCCGGACCCGGTCCAGCTCCTGGTCGTGGCTGGCCACCTCTTCCTTCAGGGCGCCTTTCAGCGCGGTCAGCTCCCGCTCCCGCTGACGCAGCTGCTCTTCCTGCTTCTGCTTGGCCCTCAGGACCTCCTCCAGCTCCTCCCGGGCTTCCATCAGCTCCTGCAGAAGGGAGAGACAGCGGGGGGATGCACTGGCTCGGGAGTGTCTGGCGTGTTCTTACGGTGCATCGCGGGGGCAGGGTGGCCACTCACTTTCAGCATGGCTTCCCTGTCCACAGCCCCCCCTGGGGGCTCCCGGAACCGGTCAAGTGCCTCTTGCATCTCCATCAACTGGTCTTCCAAGTCCGCCATCTTGGCTTCCATCTGTTCCTTGTCCATTTTCACATCCCTCAGCCTGCAGAGTATTAAGAAAAAGCAAGAGCAGCGAGACTATTTTTAATCCTAATTTCTTTGATCCACAATCTGAAGTCCCTCCAAAATGACATGAAAGTTGCTCAACAGTCACAAGGTCCAGATTTACATATTTTAAATGTTTCCAAAAATGCATAGGAACAAATAAATACAACAACGCAAGAATTCTTTACAACCTAACAGACCTTGTTTCAGCATGGACCCATTTGAGAAACAACCTTGCTGGCCAGGCAGGACAGCAAAGGAGACATCAATCGAAGCTCCCTCAGCAGGGAATACCAGAGACCTGGACAAGCCACCAGAAATACCAAATACATTCTGGATTCAAGAAGAAAACATCCCACCCAAGGCAAAGTAATTCCCCATTGAGGCCTGGCTGCCAGTAGCACCACATTATCAGGAATGGCCGACTTTTTCAAATGAGGAAGGGCAGATTGATGGGAATTAAGCCGCTGTATTTAACTTTTTAAAATGCGTATATTTGCCATTTGTACAGATCTCACAGCAGTACACAAAAAAAGTTGAAAAGAGAAAGTATCACAGAATGTTAAGACACAATAAAAACACGGCACTCAACATGATCAAAGAAATGAGCATCGATTCACCAAAATTATTTTTAAATGGATTTCCCGACTAGGACAAATCCAACTAAAAGCAACTCAGCCTTCACTTTAACAAAGAAAGTTCTTGCTTGCGCTCTGCCGTTTACCCCTCTCCGAGATCCCTTTCACAACCTCAAGGAGCAGCTGGGGTGGCTCTTTCCACAATGGCTGGGAGGCCGGAGTGCCAGTTCCGCCTGCGAGCTCAGGAGCTGCAAGCTCTGGGAGTCCAGGAAACCCAAAGGCCCCCCCAAACCATGCCTGGGCCACAGGGCTGCTTCCTCCCTTGCATCTCTACTCGGACCCACAGCTTTCAAGGCACGTGTGGGGCTGACACTGCCTTGCCCCAAAGGGATCCGCACTTACTCTTGCAGCCCGCTCTGGTGCTCCTGACTCTTCTTGGCAAAGGCTTCCCGGAGACGGCGGCACTCCTCCTCGGACTCCTCCAGTCGGATCTCCAGGCCGCGAGGAGCGCCGTTTCTGCGGCTGTCCTGCGACAACCCCAAATTCTCACAGAGCTGTGTCGTTTTGCAAAGGGCAGGGTGTGGGGAAGACAGAGAAACCGACATCCTCAGCGTACGCAGTGCCAGAATGCAACCACTGACAGAACTGACAGACACTCTGGAGTTACCCAGAAGCCTTTGCTTCCACACCCAGACAGCAAAGGTAGCATAATTCAGGGACGTGATGCATAGGAAGTCTCCCTCACACTCACTCACAGACACACATGGCAGATCAGGACTGAACACAGAAACATAGAAAGAGAGCAAGTCAGAAGGGGCCTCCCGGGCCATCTAGTCTGACCCCCGGCTCCGCTCATGACATGCCCACCATGCGCACGTCCAGCCTGTCCCTGAACACCCGCACCGACGGGGCCTCAGCCACCTCCCGTGGAAGCCCATTCCACACCCTGGGGGCCCCTAACTGTCAGGAAGTGCTTCCTGGCATCTAAACTGAGCCTTGGCTCCCTGAGCTTGGCTCCGCTTCATCATTTTAAACTTGTTTTTAACCTGTTTTAAAATTCTGGAACTGCACAAAAAGCTTTGGCTATTGGGTGATAAAAGAACTGGCACGAGTGAACGCAAGAAGGCCGTGCAGCGGAGTCTGAGTGGGCGCACCTATCGCCACTCGCTCTCCACACCAGGCTTGGGTGGGCCAGTGTTTATCAGCCGGCAGTGAGATGGGCCACCCATAGAAAAGGCAGGAATTCCTGCAAAGGCAGGGGCTCTCCCAAAATTTATCCATTTGCAAATTAAAGATGGGGAAGGCTGGAGCACGCTGAAGTGACGATTTGCCAGGGAACCTGGATCTGCTTCTGGTCCAGCCCTGCCTTCCCGAAAGACTTCTCAAGCTACCTTAGTCTTCTCGTCCAGTTTCTTCTGCAATTCGTCAACCTTCCTCTGCAGCGCGCTCTCCTGAGGGAGGAACGCTCTCGACTCCGATGAAGGTGCAGCCTTCAACCCGCCAAGAAAAAACAGAAGCAGACACGGCATTAGATGGGTAAACACTGAATGAACAATGTAGGCTTGGGTGCTGAATGTTTGGATAGGCTGGTTTTCCCAGCGGAGACAGACTCGAATCCCAGATCCAGGGGAGAAGCAAAGGGGCAGTAAGAGACGGATTGTCTGTTGTTTTTTTTTGGGGGGGGGGGTTGTCACAGAGGTATCAGACTGGTGACTGTGGATGCTGGGCTAGTTAGTGCCACCTTGGAGCAATCCATCAGGATGCTTCTTATTAAGGGAAGGATCTGGATCGGAAGCAAGGCGCGATGCAGAACAGAGAAGCGCAGAAGTGGCAGGCCAGGTGGAAGAGGGGAGCCGGGAGGTGGCGGCGGTGGAATGAAGCTGCGCTACAAGGAACCAATTTCTTCCGTTTTCTTAGTCTTGCTCTTCTTCTCGGCTCCAGCTCACAAATTTCTTAGGGCCTCTACGCTGCAGCCTCTGCTCCTTGTATGCGCAGGTTTTGGCACAGTGTGAGTAAGCGTGACCCTGTGTGTCTCTCCTGGAAATACAAGCTTGGATAAGCAGCTCTCTCACACCAGGGGCCTGCAATGTTCTTCCGGCTGGCGGTTCGGAGCTTATCCTCGGAGCAGCCAGCCTCCACAACATGCCAGTTTCGATAGGCAGGAGGAGAGAGATTCCCGCCGTCTCTGCCTAGAAACTGGGAGGGGGCAGAGAAGATGAGGAGTGCAGGAAAACTAGCTTTTTCAGAACTGCTGGAGTTGGCGAGGGAGGGTGGGAGGGAGGGAGAGAAATCGGAAGAAAGTGCTAGGTTATCTGTCAAAAAAGCGCCAAGAGGACCCTCCGAGTTATGGAGAAAATACATCAGACGAGCTGGTTGGTTTCGTGCGGGGACAGCGCTGCCGCTGCTGCCACGAGGCGGAGAACGACGGCCGCCTCGGGGGGTACAAGCCAGGGACGGCGAGCGATGGGGCACACAGCTGGCCCTGAGCTCCCCACGCCAGCCGCTGCCTCTGGGAGGATCCTGTCCCCATCGCTGCTGTCAAAACCAGAGCCAGCGGCCGGTCCGATCCATCTCCGCACACGAGCAGAGACAGCGCTGCCTTGGCCTGTGCTTCTGGGGGGAAAACGCTTCCTCCCAACTAGCCACTGCGGCTGGGTTCCCGTCTGCCAGATATGAAACCCTCGCAGGTCTGCGGAGAGAGGACTCGCCTGTGGATCACGCCATCTCTCTGGCGTGCGTCTGGGTCTCACGGGGGAGATGGAGCCGGGCAAGCAAGCCGTGAGCAGGATGGAGCGCACGCCCCCTTCCTGGGGAAGCGGTGCAAGAGCCCTCTTCCTCGTGAAGGAGAGGGGCATTCTCATGGCTCGGCTCCGCTTGGCCCAGCCCCTCCCCGAGCCTTACTGAGGACCAAGAAGTGGGAGAACCGGGCGCCGAGCGATGGCAGTTTTCCCTGGTTCAGGCCTTGCGCTCCGTGGCAAAGCCCATCTGCATGTGAGGCACAGAAACTGAAGAACCAAAACCCCTCTTCCCCTTTCCTTTCTGCATCCCATTAGGCGGTGGCTAAGTTGCTGTAGAAGGAGCACCTGAACAGGGGCCATGGGGTGTCCCTGTGGCTCCTGGGAGGTCGCCGCAAGGACAGGAGCAAGCTCGGCACTCCCTGGCATCGAGAGCGCCCTGTCTGAAGCAGGTGGATCCGGCGGAAGCCAACACGGCTCGTGTCGACACAGAATACAGCGGGCCGCACGCTTTGCCACAGGACTCACCGCAAGCGCTTGGATTTTCTCAAAGACCAAGTTGGTTTTTCTCTTCACTGCGATGTCGTTTTCTGGGCTTCTGCAAATGACAAAACAGGGCAACCGATTCAGCTTGGAATGAAACCCACCGGCCACCTTGACCAAAATCGTTATCAGTCCATTGAACAAATTGCACAGCTCTGTAACTACGGTGCAGTTTAAATTAGTGGCTTTCAGACTTGGTCTCTGGCCCACAGGGCTTTCTTGAGGGGCTTTGGGCAGGAGAAGTAGAGCACCTTGACCAAAAAGTAGGTGGTCTCGGTATTTAAGGTCGTGTTAGTGAATTGCATCTAACGGGCAAATGTTGAACCTGTTTCAGCTTAGGGGCCGAATTCTATTTTGCAGAAGTTCTCTGTCCTCAGCATCTCCAGGAAGACCTGAAGAAACTCCTGCCTGCAGCTCTGGAGAGCTGCAGCTAGTCAGGGCCCGGCTCACACCAAATGGCAGCAAGCTGTAGACTAACAAAACCCACGCTCAGCTGGGGTTCTGTGCCGCTACCACTTTGAATATGCAAACTTCGCTTGGAAATTGCTCCATGAAGTGCCAGGTTGGACACTGTTGGTTGTTAGGTCAACTGTGGGTTGTACAACCCATAATTAACCCATCACATGCAGCTTCACAGAGCAACCTCAGATGAGGCTGACTGAATGATTAAAATGGCATGTTCGTTTCATATTCAAAACGCAGGTACATGCACCATGCAAACCATGGGTTGATTAGCCCACAATCTGTCACTGTTACATGCAAACAGAGCCCGTGTCAACGACAGTGGGCTTGATGGATCCAGGGTCTGGCTCAGCTCAAGGTGGCTTCCTATGGGCCAGGCCATAGAGGACTTTAGTTTAAATGTTGTGAACCGCCCAGAAAGGTAACAAGTAAGTGTACTATACAGACGGTAGGCAACTGTTAACTCTGAATACAGCTTAAAATAGGCAGTCCAAGCCAAAGGCACGTGGCTTTCTCAACACTCACCCATCCTTCAAGATACTGTAGATCAGCTCTTTGGTATAGTCACTGCTCCCTGGCTGGGACATCTCCTGTTGGTCCTTCAAAAGGTCAGGAGTAGACTTAAGCTGCAAGAAACCACCCCGAAGGTGAGAGGACTGCGGAACGGGCCGAGTCAGGGCAGTGACGGAGGAACAGACACGGCTCAGGTGCTGGACCTCCCGTTAAAGGAGGCTGGGGAGGGAGGGAATGGGGAAGGCCAGGCGTCTCCACCGGAGACCCTGAAGAAAAGCTGTCCAGATCACCCTTTCCAAGCAGGCCCTCCAGGTGTTGTGGGACTACAACCCCCACCAGCCTGGCCAAGGGTCTCCATGCTGTTCATCAGAGCACGGAGTTGCCCGGGAAGAGGCTGATCCCCCATAAATGGATCCAGCAGTCCCTTCCGAGGGAGGAGCCTACATGGGGTCAACTGGGCTTTGGTTTCTGGTATTTTCACTCACGGATCCACCTCACTAATGTTTGCAGCCTTATTAACCAAAATCTCCCCCAAGTGGCTTTCTGCAATCCTTTGCAAAACTCTGGGCCGAGCGGATCGTGGGATGCAGGAGAGGGGGCCTGAGAGGGGGCCTACGAAGGGCTCCCCGCTCGTTCACACCACGCAGCCCCGCTGAGACATACCTGCAGATCCGACTGAACTTTCCTCGGCTGCTTCTCCGTCGCCGGCTCTTCCTGGCTCTTGGCGACCCAGTCGCGGGTCAGCTTCGACTTGTCTAGGTCGGACTCCTTCGCGTGCCGCTCAGCAGCTCGGCTGAGGCTTCTGCCTCCCGCGGGGCCGGCCGAACCGAGCTGGACCGTGGCCGGGGTCCTCGCCTCCTCTCGGAAGCTCCCGGGGCGCTCGCCGGCCCCCGGCTCCCGGCACTCGGCCGTGTCGCGGAAAGCCACCCTCCCGTCGAGGCTCTGTGAGCGCTTCCGCTCCGCCGCGGAGATCCGGCTCCTCCTGGTGGCCCGGCCCCGCTGCTGGGCCTTCCCGTCGAACTTGCTGATCAGCGAGTCCACCGAGGACAGCGGCATCGTGTCGATGTCCCCGCCGCCGCCCGGCGGAGAAGGCTGGGAGGGGTCCGCCTCCAACGAGGGGGGCTTCTGGGTGGGCCGCAAGCCGGAGACACTGCCGCCGCCGCCGTCCCCCTGAGGGCTGGGCAGCCTGTGGCCAGCGAGGTTCATCATGCTGGTGCTCCTTGGGGCGCCCGCTCCAGGCAGGGCCTGGGGGGCGCCCACGGGCTGAGTGGCGGGAGGGCCGGGCTGCTCGGACGCGTCCCCCCCGGGGCTGAGCAGGGAGCTGTGGGACTGAGTCCGCCGCAGCTGCTCGCCCAGGGCCCTTTTGTGGGGCAGCGTCCGGCAGCCGCTTGCGGGGAGCGAGGGGCCGTTGCTGCGTGACGAGCGGCCCGGCTCCTCGTCCGAGATGTTGTACTGGGAGCTGTACCGCGACAGCTGGGCCCCGTACGGGTTATCCGGGAGATCCGAGTCGGAGCTGATGGAGCCCGAGGCATCCCTGGACGACGACGCAGCCCCGGGCGAGCCCGGGAAGGCCTCCTCGTGCGGCTGCTTCCGGGCAGCGGCCCCGTACTTGGTCTCGCCCTTGATCTGCACGCCGAACGAGTCCTCCCCTTTCTCGCCGCTGTTCAGGACCACGAAGGGCTGCCCGTCGATCCCCTGAACCCGCACGGCCACGCCATAGGAACCCGGTTTGGAGGCCTTGGAGCGGATCTTCTGGGGCTTGCTGGGTTCCTTCAGGTCGTTGATGAATCTAATCTGGACCCCGTAGTCCATCGGGCTGTGCTTCTCGGCCAAGGCGCCATTGACATGGTATTCCATTCTCCACGGCGCTGAGCTTTTAAGGGATCCTGCAAAGGGAAAAATGGGGGGGGGGAACACTCAGGATAAAGCCAGAAGGGGGCCTGGGGTGTGCTGCCTGGGGGCCTGCAGGAGGGCCGCCGTGAGGGGACCCTCTCCGAGAGTTTAACGGGGCCTTCTCCAAGCACTGGCTTGGGTGTTTTTTCCACATGATGTACAGAGCTGTTCCATCATTAATGCCTTTAGCCTGTCAAATCTGCAGTGATTTTCTTCTTGCTGCTTCTGCCAGCGCTTTTGTGTTTTAGAGCCATTTAAGAAGCACTTCCTGACAGTCAGGACCCTCAGGGCATGGAATGGGCTCCCACGGGAGGTGGCCGAGGCCCCATCGGTGCGGGTGCTCAAGGACAGGCTGGACGTGCACATGGTGGGCATGTCATGAGCGGAGCCGGCTGGAGCCAGGGGTCAGACCAGATGGCCCGGGAGGACCCTTCCGACCTGCTCTGTTTTTATGGCTCACCGTGGGCCTTTTGAGGCCTGGATGAACAGGCTCCGGCCCCTAGTTTATCTTCCGGGCCCTTACTTTCTTAATTTACCTGGGGGCCTTTTCAAAGGGTAGAGTTGCAGCTATGGAGGAAGAGTTAATTCCTCCCTCCACACAAGGGGCAACACACCTCACCAAAAAAGGAAAATAACTCAGCTGCACAGTAATTATGTTCTTTCCACTGGTCTGGGATTACAAGTCAAGAGTGCAAACTAACTGCAGAATTAATTTCAGCTGAGATGATCTGGATGAGCACTCTGTTGACGCACCCTGCCTCTGCTGGAAGTCAGATAGATCCTTCTGAATGTTTCTAAACGTTCCTCGGTGGGTCTACAGGAGCAGACTGGATGCAGGTTTTGTCCTACGGACTTGGACCCCCAATCTTTTAAGTGCCCAGCACCCCCCCCACCCCCCCGATGCTCACTGCATTTTTTCATTGCTTTTTTGGACTCGTGTCAACCGCCCTGAAAATGTTTATATTGCAAGGCAATACACACACCAATTAAATAAACAAACCAAGTTCTGCAATGAGGTAGTTGAAGAGCCGGCAGGGCAAACTGCGCAGGGAGGCGGCGCACAAGTTTGTAAACTCCAGAGCACGCCTAAAATGAGGCCGTTCGGGTCCCACATGGACTGAAGCTCGGCTCCTTGTGCAAGGTGCTTTAAGCGAAACATGCGGAAGCCGCCCGGTTTGCTTTTGGCTTTGCCCGCCCCTGGAACACGGCTGCCCCAGAGCACCCCCGAAATGGACCTGGGCCCCCGGACTGGGAGAGGCTGTGCAACACCCACGCCAGGAGGAGCCCGAGGCCGGCTGGAAGATTTTCCCAACAGGCAATGGCCTCTGTCTTTGTGCCCTTTTTCCTCAGGGGGCGGACAGCTATGTGGACGCAAAGAGAGCCCCTGTGGCAAAGGATGCAGGTGGTTCCCCATCCCGTCCTGCTCTGCAAAGTTGTGCTGAGCAAGGCCAAAGCAAAGCGCCGACTGCTGAAACGGAGCCAGGTGAAAGTCCACCTTCAGCTCTGTCCTCTGCTTGAACACGGTTGCCACCCACAGCGCACGGCCCTGCAAGTAAGTTTGTGAGAGTTTTATACTCTCTCGCCGTGCTGATTCAGGGTTGATTTCTGTGATGAGCAAGCTGCAGTAAAGCGGCGCTTCTGCCCACACAACACACCCGAAGAGCAACAGGAGGAAAATCCACAAACAGCGCTTATCGCGCCGAAAAGAAAAGCAAGCGCGGGACAGAAGTGCAAAGGGCTTGGCTGGAAGTCACTCCCACGTTCTCAGGAAGTGACCCTCGGGCAGAATGCAAAACGCACAAGGACGCAGGCCGCCACCTCTGTGGGATTGTGGGCACCGCTTGCCACGGCAGGCGATCAAATGCCCCGGGAAGCCCAGAATCAAAGCCATGGGGCGACGGCCCCCTCCCACTGCTTGTGCTGGTGCACCGCACAGTTTAATGGGGGAAGAAGTCCTTCCTTTTGCCTCTGTCCACACCACGCGGCCCTTCTCTCTACCCACCCCATGCTTTATCATGCATGTGCATGCGCTAGCCTTGCTCGCCGTCTCTGAAGCGAAACGGTGGCGTAACCATTCCTTGTGGGCAGCTCCCCCAACTCCTCGATCGACTGGGCTGCCTCTTTCTACACCTTTCCTGGTTTTACGGTGCCCTTTTGCTTGCAAAGTACACACAGAAACCCCAAACCTGACAGCAGGTGTGTGCTTGGCCACAGGGTCTCCTGCAGCTCCCCCAACTCTGTGCAAGCAAGAGGATTTTAAACTCCCACCTGCATGCGAAATGTACAAGCAGGAGTGTAAGGCACTTATCATCCTTTAACAAATCAGATTTTATTGCCATTTGCACCAAAACAAAGCAAAATCTAAATCGAATCAAAAGAAGCATATACCCCCCCCCCCCCCCAGAACAACAATTCTCATTTTGGAAATATCCACGCAACAATTGCATATTTGTAATTATGATTGTCTTAACTATTGCAATTATTGTTTTTGTAATTTTTACTGTCTTGATTGTTGTAAGCTGTCCTGGGGTGTTTTTTTCATGTCGGATGGGGTAGAAATATTTTAAATAAACAAACAAACAAGGGGAGGAACCTAGCAAACCTATAGCGCAAGCAGCCACAAGCACGCCTAACTGTGCAGGGCTTGCTTAGGCAGTCCGGCTATTCAGAGGGTGTCATCTGAAATTTCTTTCTGGGCCAGAGCAACTCCCACCCTGCTGAAGGAGTAATTGCAGGGTGTTAGAAGCAGGTTCAGAGTGAGCCCAAAGCAAACATGACTTGCCGTGGATACACCTGCCTCCAGCAAAACCCACACCTTTGAAGCATCCAAACCATTAAGCCAAGTAACTAGTCCATAAGGGTGTGTTTGATATAGTTTGCCTGCCCCTACCTAACCGCTGAAGAACACAACCCTATGCGAGCCAAGACCAAAAAGGGCCCACAACTCCTGGCTTGCCGGCCTGTTCCCCATTCGAACTTCTGCAGGTTTAAGCCTTGAGGCATTTAGGGCATAGCAGCCGGCTAGACACACGAACCCACACAGAGGCTTGCTGTTCAGAAGCAGAGCGCACAGCTCCGAGGGGCAAGTCCCTGGCTGATCGGTGGCATCCTTGGGGGGGGGGGGGGGAGCGGCCTCGCTTGAGACCTGGAGAGTTGCTGCCGGCCAAGGCTGGCCACGGAGCAAGAGGCACGGAGGGCTTCATTTGGCTCCCGCAGCCATTTCGCCACGCACCCCTTCCCTCTCCGACTCACATCGAGCAGGTGCTCGACCCGGGAACGGCTCTGTACAAGCCTGCTCCAAAAAACATGGGCACGCGGTGGAGAGATGCCGGAGAACAGGGGGGGGGTGGCGGCTCCCCCACTTTTCTCCATGCTTTAACACCACGGGTGGCTCACGTGGGGCTCCGAGGGCCCCCCCTCCACGCACTGCCAAGCAGACCCAGGGTGGCTCAGCTTCAGGACGCCACAGGCGTGACCAGGCCATCGCCCAGGATGGGGGGACACGGAACCCGGAACGTCGGCCTGCGTAGCAGCCCGACCCTGGCGCCAATCATTTTTCGAACGCTTTTTAAAGCCTTCCAAACTAGCGGTTAGCCTTGACCACTCGCCCGGGGTAGCAGGTCCCACCAGTTCATTCCCTCTTGTGCAGAACAAGGCTTCTCTCCCTCTGTCTTGAATTGCCCGCCAACCAGGTTCAGACGGGGGGGGGGGGTCTGCCCACGATCTCTTCCTGCCACCCCACCGCACCCCAATCGCTGCTGCTTTCTGGGGGGAAACTTCCCAGCTCTGGCTCCTGAACGTCGGGTCAGCAACACAAGGTTCCTTCTGCTTGGCGCTAGGGAGCTGCTATGATTTTCTACAAATGCAAACATTTTTTTTTTGGAGATGGACAAGGTCCTGGGCACAGAACAATGCAGAGTGGATTGTCTTCACTGGGCACGGCCCATTTGGAGAATCCCTGCTCGGCAAGCGCTCCTCCATTTCCAGAATTAATTAGCACCACGCTATCAGGGACGGAAAGGAGGTGGCATAATAATGCTAGGGAGAACAAATCTTGGAGGAGACGGCCAAGATGAATCTCCCGGTCGGAAGATTGTGTGGTCGGGGCAGAAGAGAAAGGGAATACATTTCTTCACTGCAGCGCTAACAGCCTGCCGTTTCAAGAGACTTGCGGGGAACGAGAGGATATCAAAAAGTGCCCTGAGTCCCAAAGATGCCAGCTCTCCAAAAACCAGCTGCCCAGGTCCGTTCCCTTTTCCAGGCCACACAGCCAGCATAATGCTGCGTACTCACTGTGGTTGGCAGGGGTGGAAGCGTGCAGCCCGAAAAAAAAAAAAAAGAAAGAAAGAACGAAACCAAGAGAACATATCCACAGACTGGCCAGAGGCAGGGAGGAGATAAATAAATAAAACATTTTTAAAAGAAAGGAGCAAACTAAACTGGAGTCGCTGGTGGCCTCTGCTGTGGCTGAGCGGTGCCAGAACTTCGGCATCCTGAGGACTCACTTGCATCCGAGCAGGCGGGAGCCGTGACTTTTCAAGCACAAAGCGATGTGGGGAGGCTCAGCGGTGCCGGCACATGGGCTGCATCGTGGCAGCGGCCCGGCACAGGTGGGGGAGCCAAGAGTCGCTGCCGAGGGCAGCCAGCTCTTTTCCCCACTGCAGGCTTTCCAGAGCAAGCTGGCTTCCCGGCATGCGAAACGAGATGTCCTTGAGTTAGGGGAAGAAAAAGGGTCGTAGCCTGCCTGCCTGCCCCCTCTTATCCCCTCCCCTTCCCAAAGGTTTCAAGCTGCTGAGGGGAGACAAAAAGCACAGAAATATCTTCTTCTACCTCTGGATCCGCAGGCAGAAGCCGCTGGCATCGGAAAGTGCTGGGACAGGCGGAGGAGGAAGCTGCTGGGAATGGAGGGGAAGGAGGGGGGGGAGAGGGAATGGTACAAGGCCAGTCGCACGGATGCAGAATTCACACGCTGGCGAGAAGCTGGAGTGGGCGT